GCCGCGTGTAGCCGCGCGGCACAGGGTTCGCACTAGCCGGCTTTTAAAAATGGCGGAGCCGGGCTTATGCTAATGGAGCCCGGGAAATTCAAATCCCGGGCTTCATTAGCAAGTGCGGTATGCATACATTACCCTCCTAGTTCGAACTAGGAGGGTAGTGTAGACATACCCTAAGTGAGCAGATATGGGTATGAATACATGTGAGGAGCAGACCTGTCAGGTGAGATGCTGCAATTATGTTTAGAGTAGAACTGCACTGTAAGTGCCAGTGCCATAGACACTGCAAGCATTTACCAATTACTCTGTTCTGAAACATTTGCAGATAGGCAACACCAGTTGATCTACGAAGATTCTGCTTCTCCCTGCTGAGACTATGGATGGCACTGAATGATAACATTACCCTGTATGGCAGAGATGCTAAGGCTGCTTATATCAGATTTCCCTTCCTTCCTCTCTACCCTGCTCCCCACCCTCAAAGCAATAAGTCTGATGTACCGTTTCATGCACAGGTTAACTCCCTGCAAATGGGAGTTGTGCCACACATCAAGGAGAGACCAGAACCCAGAATTCAGTCCTTTCTCTACCATTATAGCTATGCCTAGTGTACTTACAGATCCTGGTGGACTGGCTGCAGTTGCTGCTTTTTGTCTTATGCTGGGATTCCGATAGGATGGGGGGCTGTTGCCTGATGCCTTCAGACTACTGGCCTTGCTAGTCTTCAGCTTCTCTCCCATTGCAGACAGCCAGTTTTTTTTGCCAGGTGAACTGTTCTCTTTGTCCAAAACATGAGCCCCTTTCCTGCAGGAGTTCCTTAAAGGACGAGGGGGGTTCTGGAAGCCTGCCTGATTAAGTGGGCTTTCAGGAAGGGATGGTTCCTCTGGGCTCTGGCCATAGCCTTCAGTTCCAGTCGTCAACTCAGCAAGGCTCAGATAGTCTTCAATACTGGCTTTCTGGCCTGCTGCAAAGAAGCACCAATCCAGCTTGGGTTTTTTAGCCACTGGGTCCAGCTCTGTCACACAACTGCAGCCTTTTAGACACTTCTCTCCCATGTGATTTCCCTTGCTGGACTCCAGCCTTCTTTTGGCTTGCTTTTCAAACTGTGAGAGTGGTGATATGGGAGTGTCAACTGTCTTTGGAAAATCCTGAGACACCGCTGCCAGGGCTTTTCTTGGAGAAGGCGTCTTTGCTCCCATTGCTGGTGGAGAAAAGTACAGAGTCCTGGTAACCCAGTTTTTAATAGACATCTTGGAGGAAGATGTTGGCTTGGGAGAAGAGCCTGATATGGCTTCGCTTTGCTTGGCTGGAGTGTGGGCCTTGACTGCTGGGCTTTTGAGAGAGGATGTTGTAGTATTGGTAGACCGAGGAAGGTCCCCAACACAACTGGGAGCACAAGCTGCTGGCCGTGGTGAAGAAATGCATGGGCTACCCACCATGGAGTCTTTTGCAGGAGTACTGTGTGTAGCTGGTCGCACTGGTGGAAGAGAAACAAAAAACAGTCAAGCATTCCAGTGCTTTACCACCCTCCTAGTGAAAGTTTTTCCTAATATCCAACCTAGACCTCCCCCACGCAACTTGAGAGCATTGCTCCTTGTTCTGCCATCTGTCACTACTGAAAACAGCCTCTCTCCATCCTTTTTGGAACCCCCTTCAGGAAGTTGAAGGCTGCTATCAAATCCCCCCCTCGCTCTTTTCTTCTGCAGACTAAATAAGCCCAAGTCCCTCAGCCTCTCCTCACAGGCCATATGCTCTCCATTATGGATAATTGTCCCAAATAGGCTTTGATGTTCATACACCAGTAAGATTACTATGCTTTTCCTGGAGAGTATTCTGCAAGAAAGGTTACTGGGTAGCAATCAGTTATATACAGTGAAAAGGGACAGCCTAGAAATCCTCACATCTTGTAAGAGGTCTTAGATTCCAAGGAAGACAAAAGTAACTGATGAATTGGTTGCCATGACAAAAAAAATCTTTTTTAAATAAGCAATTTCCATGTACATATAGCACATGTATTGAAATCATTTTTTTTTTAAAAGAGATTTTACTTCAAGAGAAGATGCACTAGTGTGTGTCCAATGTCTCCTTTTCAGATGCTAAAATGTCATGCATCCAAAGGAACCTTTTTGGCCTTTAACTTGTGGTGGTACAAGTAAATAAGAAAACACGTTAGCTTCCTTAAGCACACAGTTTCACCAAGGAGCAATTTTCTGCATACCAGAGATTTAGTCTGAAACTCTTAATTCTCAGCATTAGCTGTTATAAAATGAAGTACTTAATTGGGATGCTGAAGTCTTGTGTGAATGAAATGCCATTTTCTTTAGAATGCTGTACTTGCTTATGAAATATGCATAGTGTAAACACCTACATAATTTCTCAACACCACACTATACATAAGCTTTTTTGACTCATATCCTTCCTTCACATAATATTGCCCAATACAGTCTCTGCACTTTAAATTTATGTGCTGATCAAACAGAGTAGAATGCAAATGTCAACCACTTTGAAGCACTTGTTCCTTTCTGAACGTTTATTAGTCCAGACTGAAGCAAGTTATTATGAACTCATAGCAGGGTTACTTCTAAGAATTGGTCTTTTAATTTTGGCTTTAATGAACACTTACAGGACTGTGTTAAATCAGCTGGGGAATTGGTTGTGCTTAAATGTAAGTTCTTAGATGTGTATGAAGGGTAGTAGTGATCCCAGCAACCTCTCCTTTCTCCAGCAATTAGCTGCAAAGTCATACACTGGAAATATGGGGTGATGAGTTGGAAAGAGGATGCACTGTCCACAAACATGACACAGACTGAAAAAATGTATTATGGTCACTGCCTCTGGAAAAGTTGAAGCTACCTTGATGTACATGCTAAATTAATGGGGATAATGAAAGGTAGCCTGTGATTCAAATGCCTACATTCCCAATGTTGGGAAACAACAGAAATATCAAGCTTTGTTGTAGTAGTTTGTGCATCAGTCAAATATTCAGACATCAGACTCAGTTAACAAGTCAAGCATATTGCTATTGTTACCACTTACTGACTTTCTGCAAGGCTGTTACTTTTAACACTGAGTGCAAGCCTCTTCCAAAATGCCAGTCGAATGATGTGTGTCAGACAGATAAATGCATAATATACACCAACAGTAGAATGTCTCTCTTGCTCTTATACTATCAATTTTCTACAGCAACATTATGGGCTTCAACAGTCAAAAAATAATCACAGATTCATGAGACAGTCTAGCTGTAACAATTATGGTTACATAAAGTGTAGAGAAATTACTATCAGACAGCAAATTTACATACATTAATTTCCCAAGAGAAGGAAGCTGTGCTTGCTGCACGCCCAGGGCAGGTCAACAGTCAACACGCAGCCACAAGTTCACAATTTGTTCTGTTTAAATGGCTAGGATGCAATCTAGATTTTATCTAAGCAATCCTGAAATGTTATTTGGTTAGCCAACTATGAATCAGTTTGCAGATAGTTTCTGGATTCTAATACCATGTGTTTTGTGTTTAAAGAACCATGCTTTTCCATACACAAGAGCTGTGTGCTTCCTCTTCCCTCCTGGGTTGTTCTAATGCATAGAGAACAAGGAGAAATGGTATTTTTTCCTAGAGTAATTGCCAAATTCAATTGATCAATTTGTAAATATCCAGGATACAGGCTTCTTTGGGTTTTCAAGCTTCTTGACAAGACTACTGTCCATATTTATTTCTCAGGGAATAAAATGTGAAATAGTTTCTCAACAGCTCAATGAAATGAAGCATGTATGTGTGTGCTGGGAGCAACTATGGGAAAGAGCTGGCAGTTACTCACCTATTGTCCTGCAAGTTTCCTGCAAGACTGTTACAAGCAGGCAAAAAGCTAATTTTGTTATCCCGGTCAGGAGGATTATGAAACCTTCCAGCTGTATTTACCACAATGAAGGTGAAACTCCTTTGGAAAGTGAGTAGAAGGAGATAGACCAACACAGGAAATGACAGCAACCAGCTATTGTCAAATCATTTTTGGTTCAAATTTTAAAGCTGCATAAGAAATACAATCTTAATACTCCACTTTTCTGAGTGCTTTATTCAGCTTTCCATCTCAACTGTATACCAATTCATGCTCAACACAAACTAAGTGAGCTCTCTGATCCAGGACTTCTTGCACATGGTTTGGAACATGTTCAAGAGATTGTACTCCTGCAGTGGTTTGGATCAGCTGAGGCTGCACTGGAGTCCTCATTTCCTTCATCAGGATTTTGGCTGGGTGTTTACAATTAAGTTCTAGACCAAAGCTTGACATGCTTGGTCTAATAGAACCCAAATCTGCTGACAATCAGTGCATAGTGCAAACTCTATCTGATCCTCTAGGCTTTCCAGAAGGGGATAGCATTTAACAACTATATCTAACAAGTTGGTGGGCAAGGAGTCTCTATGGTATGTTACTAGTTTATTTTATAATAATGGCGAATAGATTTCCATGTACACACATCAGTGGTGAAAGAATAAGTGCATTTTAGGGACCCATCTCTAAACTGCGCATATCTGGGTCCTACAGTAAGTACTTCCATATTGTACTGAAGACAGAGTCAAATGAAGATTACATTTCTACTGGGCTCTAGAAGTTTAAAAGCAAGTGCATATAGTTCCGGAATGTTGACACATTGTCCTGTAGAAAAGGAGTGCTTTGTTTTGTTTAAAAACAAACAACAACAAAAAATCAGGAAGTCAATGTTATTCAATGAAATTCATCTGCTGGGCAAGAGGAACATTTCCAAGTTCCAGGGCTGTATACCTTTGCTGGATGGTATGTCAGGTCTAGGCAAGTGCATTAATTCACATTTCAATAAACAGGTAGAAGCTTTATGCCAAACTAGTAAATGCACAGAATTCTGACGTCCTTTTCCTATATTGGGGGACAGAATACCTTAAAAGCCTCACCATTTTGCTCTTCTGGTTTCTTCTGACAGACCCAGCCTACCAAGCTGACTTTGCTGGATGCTAGTCTCTTGGTATGGTCAGGTTGTAAGCGCCAAATCCTCACAGTGTTGTCATCAGAACATGTGGTGATCTACAGCATAAATCAGTAGGTTAGATCACTGTGAAGCCAAGACCCAAAGTCACTGGCAAATCAATCCAAGAAAGTTGCTACTCTCAGCCTTGTGTACCAATAAGTGTTCTGCACGGAGTCCTCTCTGCCGCTAACAAAAAAGATAAAGGAATTGCCAGCAAAAAACACATGCTACCTCATTACTGTACTAGAGGAAAAACAATGATCTTTTTCCCCCTGAATGTGACCTGACAGGAGAAAGCCTCTATCTATCCCTTTTATGGCAAAGAAATCAGTCTCATGCTTTGTTTTGGGAAGATTCTGTGGCAGCAGCCATTTGCTCCACGAGTGTCAATATATTTGTTTATTGACATTTCAGTACTCAGCAAATCATAGCAGAAATCCAAACGCAATCCAAAGCTCATGTTCCAAGAGGAAACAGACAGCAGAAGATATTAATTCATTTTGGCTATGACTAGATTACATCCGCCTGTGGAAAGAGGGATGTAAATTAGGTAAATCAAAAGTGCAAATGAAGTGGGGATTTAAATATCCCATGCTTCACTTGCATAATCACAGCGCTTTTTCGAAAAAGGGTTTTTCAAAAGTGAAAGTGCCGTCTAGATGCAGTTCTTTCAGGGAAAAAAACCCCTTTACTCCTCATTTTTTGTATGTTTTTTCCCCTGAAAGAACTGCGTCTAGACGGCGCTTTCACTTTTGAAAATCCCTTTTTTGAAAAAGCGCTGTGATTATGCAAATGAAGTGTGGGATATTTAAATCCCCGCTTCATTTGTGCTTTTGATTTGCCTAATTTACATCCCTCTTTCGACAGAGGGATGTAGTTTAGACATTCTCTTTGCATCGGCATCCAATGCTCCTTCTTTCACTCCTCACCTTCCCTTGCTTGGGGACAAATATTTGCAGTGTTCAAAATAGGCAGTATTTGAACAAAATACATGCTGGACAGGGACTGCATCACTAAGCAGTCTTTGCCACCAACATCATTAGTGTTTGGTGCAGAAAGCAGGAGACAAAGCTAAAGTTTAGGTACAGCAGATCCTTATATTAATAGCATGTAGCGCTTTCAAATACAGGCAGTCCCCGGGTTACGTACAAGATAGGGACTGTAGGTTTGTTCTTAAGTTGAATCTGTATGTAAGTCGGAACTGGCGTCCAGATTCAGCCGCTGCTGAAACTGATCAGTTTCAACAGTGGTGCAGAAAGCAGGAGACAAAGCTAAAGTTTAGGTACAGCAGATCCTTATATTAATAGCATGTAGCGCTTTCAAATACAGGCAGTCCCCGGGTTACGTACAAGATAGGGACTGTAGGTTTGTTCTTAAGTTGAATCTGTATGTAAGTCGGAACTGGCGTCCAGATTCAGCCGCTGCTGAAACTGATCAGTTTCAACAGCGGCT